GTGTGTGTTTGTGTGTGTGTGTGTGTGTGTGTGTGTGTGTGTGTGTGTGCGATCTCATCAACCTGTGGTAAATAATGATCCTGATATTAAATGGAAAATTCTAGGAAGAAAACAATATTCTAAATTTTAATTGAGTTTTAGAGTATATTGTTACAATTGCAATTTTATTGTGTTGTTCTTATTAATTCCTTGCTGTGACTAACATAAATAAAACCTTATTACAGACACATATGTATGTTTAAAGGGTTCAGTTCCATGCACAGTGGGAGAAAACCGTTGGGGTGTTAGAATATTACCTCTATGGATGAGAAGGTAAGAGTTATTACTATAGAAAACACATTTTGGATTCTAGGAAAGGAGTTTTATTACACAGAAAAGCACCTCGCTTAAAACATCTTTGCTAGCTGGGCCCTGGCAGCTCATGCCTGTAATCCCAGCTACTCAGGAGACTGAGATCTGAGGATCACAGTTTGAAGCCAGTCCAGGCAGGAAAGTCCGTAAGACTCTTATCTCCAATAAACTACTCAGAAAAAGCCAGAAGTGGTGCTGTGGCTCAAGTGTTAAAGTGCTAGTCTGAAGCACAAAGAGACTCAGGGGCAGTGGTTAGGACCTCCCTAGGACCAGAGGGAAAAAAATCTTACCTAAGGCATTCTAACAGCTTGAACCCTAAGCCTGAAACCTGAAACCTATCTAAGATATACTTAAAGGTATAACTAGTTTCCTATTTTTATTAATTGTAATATTTTGAACACATCTGTTAAGTATTTTAATTGAAAATATATTTAGGAATTGATAATAAGCTATAATTCCCTGTATCTTGTTTTAAAATAAACATGGCCATAAAAATTGATGACTTTGAGCTAAACAGCACAAAAAGGGACAGGTAGAAATAAGCCAGTGTTTCTAAACAGTAATATAAAATACTGGGCTAAGAGGGAAAAATAACATGAGGGACTGACTTAAGGAAAACAGTACTACAAAAACTAGTAGTTTCCTATAGTTTGGCAGTTATAATTTTGTAGATTAAAAGAAAATGTCAACCCACAACAGAAACAAAATCCTCGGACTTTCTTATAGAAAGGTAACAAAAATTCTGTTGTAAGAAGTGAAAGTATCACATGTATTATAGTTACAAAATTAAAAATAGATTACTGTAAATATGTTAGTTGCACCCAAATTAACATGAAATACAATCTTAAAATCACAATGTAATTTGAAAAGGTAAAAACACTGTTCAAAACTTTATCTGGATAACACTGTACACTAGGGAAATTTAGCTAAATTAGCAAGTGAGTTGTTCTGCTATCATTTTCTGAAATCTAAAATGACACAGAAAAATATACACAGACACATAAATTATTGCATGGAAATGTTAAATTTTGAGCCAGGAGACAACAGCTTGTGCCAAATTCTAGCTATTTAGAAGGCTGAGATCTGGAGCATCCTAGAAAAAAATTGAGAGAAATCTATCTCCAGTTAACCAGCAGCATGCCAAACTAGAGATGTAGCTCAAGTGAACAAAAAGCCAACTGAGAACTATAGACTTTAGTTCAAACCTAGGTACCAGCGCGTGTGCGCACACACGTGTGCACACACACACACACACAGAGATCAATTGTATATATTTTTTAAGTCATTCTTCAGGATGGTGCTGTTTAGGAGTAGAGCCTTGCTGGAGGTCCTTGGTCACTGGGGATTGTGGGCCCCTTGCCTTTACTTTTGTTGCTTCCTGGTCATGGGGTGAGCAGTTCACTGTGGTCTCCCTACCACTGTCAGCCTGCCCAGTCCCCAGAGGCCAAAGGCTATGGGCTCTGAACTGGAACTTCTAAAACCAGAAGCTAAAATAAATCTTTTTCTCTAGGTAAGTCAGTTATCTCAGGGATTTTGTTTTAGTGACAGCCACATTTTGCTATCAAAAAGTATCACTGAAATAGGAGATTAGAAGAAAACCAGCTGGTACTCCAGCCCTGTAATTTGTGGGAATAACCCCTAACCATGCAGTTTTTAACTCTATGAAACAAAATGTTCTCTGGGATATACAAAAACTTCCCCTTTCACATTGTTATGATAAGCAAGTTACTTGACTACCAAAAACTTTTCAAAAAATGAAAGCACAATGTGGCACATTCTCTGGGTAAGAGGAGTGGCCCGATTTCATTGATGGCTTCCTTCTATTTGGATGACTATCTACCTACACACACTTTCTATGGTCACAGTTTGTCCAGGGCTTTTAAAAATGTGAATCCATTTCAAAGCCTGTCAAATAGTTTCATCATAAAAGATTGCCATGTGAGATCTACGTGAGAAGATGGTATAGGGGACCGCAAATGCCACTGAAAATAAACTCTAAATAAAATTCATTTAAAAAGCAATCTTAAGGAAATAAAGAGATATTTAGGATTTGAAAAAGCAAAAAGAAAACAAAACTATGCATGTAAGCTACCAATGGAGCCTTCATTTCCCCTCTCCCACACCCTGCCCCAGTTAGAATCGGCTAACAGCCTGTCATAAAAGGCTAAAGATAAAGCGAGGTACCCTATGCAAGTAGATGAACTCATTCACCCTCTCCATTGACGGAAATTTAAAAATACAATTATTTTAAACAAGAATGTGCACTGCAGAGAAAAAGTGAAACCATAATTCAGTATCTTCTTTCTTGTTCTTTTTTTTGGGGGGGGAGCTAGGTGCAGTTGGGGGGGCGGAGCTAGGGTGCAGTCAGAGGAAGACATTGATGTGTGTGTTGTATGTGGTATGTTTGTGTGTGTGTGTGTGTACATATGTTGTAGCTGGAGCTAGTAGAACTAGAAGAAAATAGTTTTGTTTTGTTTCGTTTTCAACTCTGTGGTTAGGAAAGAGGAGAAATTTTGCTTTTGTTTTGTGGTCCTAAATCTCTAAGGTCTTTCATTAAACCACTGAGGAGCTCATTTGTATAATTTTTATAACTAATTGTCTTACATGGGATTCTATGGGAAATCCTGGATTACGGAGGGGAGACATGAATCTAACATGCAAAATTGACACTTGTATCATCTTCATACTTTTTGGTGATTGAGAGCAGCATGTTTGTTAGCACTGAGACTTCAGTTTAGGATTCACCATGTGAAACTGGGATTTCTGGATAAGCAACATTTGAGTGTCACACTTAAAATTTTGTGGAGCTATAATTTTTAGAAACTTAAAAGAATGGAAATATGGTAAAGGGAGGTGAATTTGTTCAAAAGTACACTGTGTGCACATATGGACAGATTTACAAAACAAGCGCCCTCATAATACTAATGCATGCTAATTCAAAAATAAAACAATAAAAGGTAATGACAACTTTAAAGATATGAGAAACTGAAAAAATCATAAGACTATTTGGTCATTTATAGTCAACTCCACAAATATATATATATACAAATATATACATATATAGAAATATGTATTTTTCTATACTTGTATATATATGTATGTGTCTATACTTGTATGTATATGTATAAATATGCTTATATATGCACATATATTTTCACTATTTGCAAAGAGCTATTCTCTAGCTGTTTGAGCAGTAAGAGGAGAAACAAGGAGTTACAGGAAACTCCTATCTGTCTGGATCTTATAATCTAATTGGAAAATAAGGGAAAGGAACCTGAAGAATCAAATTAAAGTACAAATCTAAATAGTCAAAAGAGTATAAAGAACAGCTAGACAATTACATGATTACTCATCGAGCTGTGTCTAGGTCAGAGGTTATTACACCTGGCTGTACATGAGAATTACATGAACAGGCTTAAAGAAAACCATTCTTGGGCTTTACCTATAATGTCCTGAATTGAATTTCCAGATAGATGTGGGAAGACAGGGATATAGATTCCAAAAAGGAGGAGGAATTAGGAGGATTGAGACTTTGCATTTTGCATTGTAGATTCCCAGAAAATCCTGATGAGAACAGTTTAGCACAAAGTAAGTCAAGTGAGTGGACCAATATTTGAGAACCACTCCTGTCAGCCAGGATGGTACCACTGGGAAAATATGTGTTTCCACTAATAAAGGAAGTGTGTAGACCAAATGGACTTTGGGTTAGGTGAGATTTTTCAGCAGAAGTTCCCTCATTTTTATTCCCCACTGATGCCTAGCACATTGAAATTGAGAAATACAAGTTTAAATCATGAGATTGAGCTCCAGAGAGCAATTAAAAGGTTTCAAGGAAGGAGAAATTGTCCTGGGCTTTCAAAGAAAGATACTTCTTGCCAAACTGAGAAAAGTTTGCCAGGGAAGAAGAACAGAAGTCCTCAGGAAAGTAAAATGGATCTAAAAGTATGATGCACAGAACAGTTGTTAGAAGATAGTGTCCAAAGCCGGGCGCTGGTGGCTCACGCCTGTAATCTAGCTACTCAGGAGGCTGAGATCTGAGGATCGCAGTTCAAAGCCAGCCCGGGCAGAAGAGACTGTGAGACTCCTATCGCCAATAAACCACCAGAAAACTGGAAGTGGCGCTGTAGCTCAAGTGGTAGAGCGCTCGCCTTGAGCTGAAGAGCTGAGGGACAGAGCCCAGGCCCAGAGTTCAAGTCCCACGACCGCCAAAAAAAAAAAAAAGAAGATAGTGTCCATACAGGAGAACTCAGCTGGAGAGAGGAGCAGACAACTAGCATGGGTTCCATTGTGTGTGTGTGTGTGTGTGTGTGTGTGTGTGTGTCTGTGTGTCTGTGTGTCTGTGTGTGTCTGTGTGTCCGTGTTTAATAGAAAAAGGTTAGTGTTTTACTCTTTTTCCTGGTAATCTGTATCTGTGGTGCATTCTTAAGCTTCAAAACTTCTTGTTTCTTTTCTATAGGTCTCTTTTAAGGAGGGTTCTAGACTGTTTGGAATTTTATTCAACTTGAGTTATTGTTAATGACATAAAATGACATGATGCCTTTGTAAACAATATCGAAAGAAAACATAAATTTATAAGACAACTATTGCTGTTATCAGGAATTCGTTTGGTGGCTAGTATAACTTGAGCCAAATCCCCAAATCCCAGTTACCTGAGTGAGTGGTTCCTGGTGAGATCCGGTTGACGCTCTTGCAGAATTTCAAAGATGTTGGGTTGTCGCAGAAATGCAACAATCTTGTCATTGTAAGCTGAAACATCAGAAGAAACAACTCTTTGTTAAAAAGTCTATTATGAGTTATATACATATGTTTAAAATTCTTAAAATCTATTTTCTGCCAATATTCACTGTACTTCAATTCATGATCACCATAGCTACTTACATTCCAACCTTGTATCTAACTTGGAAATGTCTCCTGCTATCTGGTGGCTTGCTTAAGTGTTCTTATTCAACTGACTTAATGAGCCATATTTATTGTCAAATGACCATTCATCAACAACATTCTACAACCTGACCATTTTCATAAAATCAACCTCAAGGCCAGGAATGGTTGCATATGCCTGTAATTCCAGCACGTGGGAGGCTAGGGCAGGAAGACTGAAAAATTCAAGCCATTAGATTGGGCTATGTAGTGAGATCCTTTCTCAAAAAAATTTATCTTCCAGGCTGGGAAGGTGGCTCAGTGGCAGAGCGCTTGCCTTGCATGCCTGAAGCCCTGGGTTTGATTCCTCAGCACCACATAAGGAAAAAGCCGGAAGTGATACTGTGGCTCAAGTGGTAGAGTGCTAGCCTTGAGCTGAAGAGCTGAGGGACAGCGCCCAGGCCCAGAGTTCAGGCCCAACGACTGGACCCAAAAAAAATTATCTTCCAAAAATGAGAACAAAAATGGAAAATCATTTTTACTGGTTAGCTATTAGCCCAACAGAGAGGCAAGGAGGTAGAACCAGAATATTAGGTAATCTTCTTCCTCCTTTTCTTTTTTCTTTTTACAAATATTTTTAGTAGTTTTGAATTCAGAGTCTTTTTGCTTTAATTTTCAGATAATAGTCTCTGGACCAAGAAGTTGGGATTCCAGGCATGAGCCATCATAGATTTTGAAACAATGATTTTATAGCACTTTAAGTTTTCAATTACATTTGATCTCTTATTAGTAGTGACACAATAAAGTGTAGATTGTTAGACGTCAGCACTAGATTTCTTTTTAGCCAGGAGTTACCACACTTCAAGTTATGATCATTATATTATATATCATGACCAAACGTGTTGGGATTTTTTCCCCCTTTTGGCAGGACTGAGGTTTGAACTCAATGTCTATCACATAAGCCACACCTCTACCACCTCCCCTTTTGGGATAGAGTCCCACATTTTCCTGGCCTGGCCTGGCCCACATTCTTCCTAATTTATACTTCCTGCTGTAGCTGGAATGACAGGAGCACACAGCCATGCCCACACCTATTTTTACCTTTTTGTTCAGATGGGAATTCTCATGGACTTTTTGTCTGAAATTGTGGGTCTTTGGATCTTAAAGTAAAATTTTCATTACAAAACCAGACACTTGCACAGCTCCTAGCTCAGATGGACACGGAGCCTCATGTCAGTAGGTCCATTCTTCCCGTCTCATGAGTCCCAGGTTCGAAAGCCACAGATCTTCTTTGACTTTGTCATGTTAACAGGTGTATAGGCATACACCCATTTACTTTTATTTTATGTTATCAAGCATGCATTATTGTTTGTTTTTGTGTTAGTACTCTGACTTGAACTCAGTACATTGTGTTCTCCCTCAGCTTTTTCACTTATGGCTGGTACTCTCCCCTTTGAGTCATGGTTAATTGGAGATAAAAGGCTTTTGAATTTGTGTGGCCGTGCTGGCTTAAAATCTAGATCTTCCGATCTCAGTGTCCTGAGTGGCTAGGATTATAAGCAGGAGCCTCTGGCACTGGGCTTTAGTTTATTATTTTAGAGGATCTTACTGCCTTCTATTTTGTTACCTAACCCCTTAACAATGTGTTCTTTTTACTTGAAGCCTTTGAGTGTACATGCCATATATAAATTCTGTCTCGTGCCATATAAATTCTGTCTGAAGCATTAAATAAATCCTAAGTATATGGTTGTCCAAACAATTAATGATTGAATGAGGTATTTTTCCTTGATGCCCATAAATTAATACTTCCACTTAGAAAAGGTAGAATAGTATTGAATAGCCTTATCCCATAAGGTTTTGTTATACCATTCTTGAGACAAATGCAATAGGTTGTAAATATCAAGCTAACAACAGGGAAATGTCAGCACATTAATCATATGCAGTGAAAGGCACACACAGAGAGAGGTTTCTAGGCAGGGGTGACATACCCACTGGAACCATGTCCTGATACTGTGGCCTACTGACTGTATTGAATGTACTGGATGGCCGGGGAAGAACTGGTGGTCCTGCATGCCGAGAATCTTCTCCTACCTGCAAAATGCAAGCAATGTTCACATTCTGCACTAAGGGCTATATATCAACATCCCAAACCAAGTTGTACAAACCATCTAACAACAAGCATCACAGAGTATCAACCAATCAGGACAGATGCCAGCTGCTGCAACAGAGCTGACACAGCTCTCAGTCCTCAAAAGCTCGCTCTACTGGCTTAACCTAGGAAAGGTAGAAGCAGCCTCATCCTGGGACAGTGACTATGCTCAATACATGAAAAGCAGTTCAATACACTCATAATTATTGAGGCTGGGCAGCTAAATAGCAGGCTTGTCGATCAGGAATAACTACTGCATGGGCAGAACACCAACCTTCTGCAAGACAATCAAAGGGAAGAGTGGGTGGTAGAACGTTCATTGGGGCAGGGCCAGGATAGTTTTTTTACTTTTTGGCCAAGGCAGGCCAGGGAATTCCCTGCCTCAGCAGAGGAGGGACAGACGGAGAGCAGCAATCTCCCCTTAGGGTTCTGAGTTAGTGGATTATCTCTTTAGAAGCAATTTTGTATGCCTATCAGAGCACCTGATGTAACAGCTCTTTCTGGTTTGTGGCTCCACAACAGGGAGCTAACAGTAGCAGGTGTGGAGGATCTAAATAGATCGTCCTCACCTGAATTACTTATGGCAGCTACTAGAGTTCTAGACGCTCATTTATACAGGTAGATAACCAAAAATACCCATTCCATTTTCCTAACATCACCTTATCTGACCTTTTCTGCTTGACTCATACATATACTAGATATTGCAAGTAAGGGAAACCATGGGACCTATGTTTCTTTGGGCTTGGCTTACTTCACTTAATATAATTTAGATATGTATTTAAATGTTTTTTTTCTTTCATGCATTTGTTTCTAACGCATTTATAAGATTATTTCTTTGTTGCTTTGTATGTCCCTTTCCCACAGTATAACCTCTGCTTTCACTATATTTGATGTCGGTATAATTTGTGGAGGAGAAGGGGAAAGACAAGTCGTTTAAGGATACAGGTGGACCCGTTGCAACAATGAGAAGAACAAGTTGTCATGTCCAAAACGAACTTTACAACTTTGGTGGCGGGGGGGGGGGGGGGGGGGGGAGTATTGAGTGGGGAGAGGGGGAAGGCTGGGAAGGGATGTGAAGGGTAAACAAAGGAGGAGGCTGCAATGCTTGATAAGAAATGTACTCAATATCTTGCTCATGTAATTGTAACCCCTTTTTACAGTATGTTCACAATAAAAAAATAAAAAATAAAAAAATACCCATTCCAATTCCTACCAAACTCTGAAATTATAGGAGCTTCTGTTCTAGCATTTCTACTTCCCGTGACAGAAATCTTTTAAGATAAGGGGAATAGAGCGAGGATAAGAGAACAAGGGTTAAAACAGCATTGGATTTATGTCATTACTTGTAGCATTACCTTCTATTTCTACCCACTAGAAGCTTCCTGCCTATTTTTGTCCTGTTGTTCAGTTAGTTAGATGTTTACTGTCCTTTTCTAAAGGCCCTCAAACTAGAAGTAGGTTTCACACCTTTCCAGGCCTGCTTATCCTTCAGGAATGTTCTCTCTCATCCCCAAAGTGCAGTTCAAAGAGCTCCTGCTCCATGAAATCTTTTCTGCCCTGCCCTTCAAGCTGAAGTTCAGCACAACCTTCCCACAGCTCCCATACTGCTTAGTATAGGAATCCAAAAAACAGTTCTATTACTAACAGTTTCTATTACATGTCAATTATGCCTCAGTGAAGCTGGAAAGACAAAAAATGGATAAAGATCTATGATTATCTGACAGAAGTTGTTAAATTTAGTATGTTTCTTTCCCAACTACTAAAACACATTTAAAATAAGGGACTTTTCATAATTTTGCTCATTTGACTTAAGATCTTCTGTTTTCTCTCCTTTTTGAGAGCAGGAAACATGTGTTAATTATTTGCCTTCATTGCCACCACATTTCTACATTGCAGGAGGCATTTGGTGTTCATTTGCTGGAGGCAAAGAGACACCACTATTGCTACTGATTGGAAAATTGACTGAGTGAATATGAGATGATGGCTACAAAGACTCTTTAAGCTTCATCAGCTTGCTTCTCTTGAGTTTTCAGCTTTGAGGAATGGACTCAGCCATTTGGAGGAACTCAAACCATTAACTACCCATTGTCTGACAGAAGGCTTATCCTTTCAATACACCCATATACGTGCTTTCCCTCCTTCCTCGATGTTGCCATGCATCATCTTTTCCCCAAACAGCTAAAGGTCTCCGAGACCTCACTTCTTAAAACCATAGACAATCCCTCTGATACACATACTTCCAGCAGCTGTGGTACAAACATTCTCATAAAGTTTTGCCCATACAGTGGTTGAATACTGAGTCTGCAGGGACTGTTAGCCATGTTGCATTGCTCAGCTGCTGTCCATAGGAAGAGAAATCCTCATTCAAGTTTGAATGTGCTTCTGAGGGCCCCCCTCCTCCAACAGGATACTGTAGACCAGACCATGCAAATAATCCAAGTTCTAAAGTAGAGGGGTTGCAAGAAAGTGTAAATATAACAATCGATCTCCTGTATGTTTTTCCAGGAAAATATACAGTACAGCCAGCTTCAGCTTGCGAAGTCATGACAAGTAGCTGAAATGCACTGGTCACGTGACTGGGTCAGACATTATGCTACCCAGGTCCAAGGGTGAAAGAGCTGTTCTGCTTTTAAGATGACTGTTAGTGTTTTCCAGTTCACCACTTATGGTTTACAGGACAGCAAGGTAAAGATTTATTGACTACTCATAAAACCATAAATATTTTGGTGCATACCTCATCCTGCAGGTGCATATATCATTTTTATATGAGCTTCTCGTGTATATTCTTCTACAACCAGCAAACACGCAATGCATTAAAGCAAGTATGTAAATCATGAGGGGAAATTCCAAGGATGCAATTTTGATTAATTGAATCCAGTTATTTATTGCATTCATAATTTTGCAGAAGAAAGGCTACAAAAATATTTGACCTCTGATATTGAAAATATGATATGCACTTAGAAAAGGCATGCAGGAAAGGAATCTTAATTCTATTTGTCTAAGGGAATTTTTAGAAACAATGTACATCAAGCCACAATAACATACGCCCCCACATCTAAAGCATGCCTTGTATTTATTTAAGCTGCTAAAAGAAGTGAAACCAGAAGGGATACTGCTCTGGGTGAGGACATTGGGAGGCCCTCGTGTGGCTACCATGGGCCACTGCAAACTGCCAGAGAAGCACAGAGGAGCATCAGCCATTCTCAGCTCAGCCCATTTTCCCTGAGCACCTGCTACATAAATCATCTCTCCTGGCTAACTCTTAACTTTAGAGAATGCCAGTGAGGATTCCACAAACCCGTAGCCTTGGATGAATAATGGAATGTAATCCAACAAACCTCGATTCAGAAACTTCCCTATACTTAAAAGCTTTATCCCATTAAAAGGCAGATTATAATGTAGTACAATATAATGTAGCTATTATAGTCAATGTACATTACGTAACTTGAGGGTAGAGGCGGGAGGGAGAAAACAGGGGAGAGTGATGGAAGGGGTGACATTGACCATAAAACCTTGTACTTGTAACTTGACTTATCAGATTGTAACCCCTCTGTATAACTACATAATAATAATAATAATAAATAATAATGAGAGAGGAAAGGTATATTAAGTTCTCCTTATGACACTGTTCTTGGTTATACAAAATGGCATGTTATTATCATCTTCTATTGAACTTTTAGTCCATTTTTAGTACTTTATCAATTCCCTCTTGCCTTTCTCTGAGTTAATAAGAGAACTTTTAAAATCTTTCCTCATATGTCCTACCTCTCTTGTAAGTTTGCAATCTAAGCTGGGTATTTTTCCAGAAAAACCCCATCCATATTCCAAAACTTTGCAGCCCCTACGTGACATTCTTTAGACCAAACCAAACAAAGAAAAATTATTACAAAAAGCCAACCTCATTCCACAAAACATCATGTCCTGGGAGCTTCCCTCAACCAACAGGTCTTTCTTTGCCTAAAGCATGGGACTCACCTCACCCGCGCTGTGGCTGCGCTGCCTGGTCAGGTGCTGGCGATGAACCAGGGCGCTGGTGGGCCGAGTGCTCTGCAGTGGGAGGCGAGGATCGATGAATGTGGTGGTGCGCGAATTGTGGTCGACAAAAAATGCCTAGGATACAATCACTGAATGAATAGACAAGAATAGGCCACGCACGTCTCAGCTGGTCTAGACTATTACTCACTCAAGAAAAGACTAACTTGTCCCTAGTGATCTTAGCTCCATTTTCTCATCCTTTCTAATGTGGAGGCATTGCTTCTTACCCCTCAGGAGAGAGCAGATAGAGAAAGCCAATGGTTATTCTAATGCTTGGTTTTAGAAAATACTCCAAGATGCTAGATGGAAGAGTTTCATAGCTACTTTTGTAGACAAGGAAGCCAATACACTAAGAAAGGACCTCTAGAACTTGTATGCCCAAGAATGGAAGCATACAACTACCCAGTCATCACCCTTCCATTTGGCTTCTTTACTCTTGATCTTTGTGCCCAGCTTTTTATCCAAAACAGAAATAAAACTAGTTGCGTCTTTAAGCCAGGGAAAATTTTCTCAAGGGTTTTCCATAGTTTCCAATACAGCATGTCTTATAGCACAAATTAAGTCTACAAAATAACACTTTAAAAAAAAATTAAAAAGGGCTGGGCACCAATGTTTCACACTTGTAATCCTAGCTACTCAGGAGGCTGGATCTAAGGACTTCAGTTGGAAGTCAGCCTGGTCATGCAAGTATGTGAGACCCTTATCTTCAATTAACCAACAGAAAGCTGGAAGTAGAGCTGTGGCTCAAGCTCTAGAGCACCAGCCTTGAGCAAAACAGCTCAAGGCCAGTGCCTAGGCCTTGAATTCAAGCCTCAGGACTGGCACACACACACAAATAAATAAACAAAATATTCCAAGAGATGGCAAAAATGTGATCTTAGATCTTGGAAAGATACCATGAGCATGGACCTCGGAACTTCTTTGGGTTTTACCATACACAGGTATTACAAAGTTGTTGCCACCTGAAACTTCAACATCATTCACTTCTTGTTCTCCTTTCCTACGCAGCCAGACACCAAGCCCTTCCACTTCCCCACCACCGTGTCCTTCATTTGCCAATCCCCTGCCCCAGCTATTCTCCTACCCCTGCCCCAAACAAACTTGGACACCACCTTATTCATTCAGGGCTTTATCGTATACATGAAAGTAGTGATAGCTTCTCATTTTTTCCCACATCTCCATTGCCATCTTTCATTAAGCTGCCAACTTATTATAATAATATTTCTTCTAGACACCTTGATTATGTCACTACCCCAAACCAAAGGTGCAACCATTGACTACTGTTACAGAGAAATCATCTCACTGTTTTGCTCTATTTTCACATCTCTAAAAATCTCTTTCCTACCCAAGTGCCTTTCTAGTTCAGTCATTCATCACACACCCAAATTCTTATCACATACCAACTATGACTCTTGGAAAGCTGCTTATGTCTCTGAGCTATGGATTTTTAGAAAATATCTCTCCCTCACTAATAATAAACATTTTGCCGCCACAGTATGTTAGAAGGGTGGAAACCATGTCTGTCATGCTTACTTTGTGTTGATGACATGAAATCAGGAATAAGCATAAATGTAGTGAGAATTTAATCCAACATAGAAAGGCATTTGTGTCTGTTAGACAATAAAACTTTACACAAGCACTATTTATCATTCTCTTTGGGACAAATATGGTCCAAGTTTTCAAAGTAAAGTGTATTCAAAATAATGATGAAATCCATTATTGGAAGTACATTAAAACTAAGTTTTGCTAAGTGCCAGTAAGTAGTTCATGCCTATAATCCTAGATACTCAGGAGGTTGAAATTTGAGTATTGTGGTTCGAAGCCAGCCTGGGCAGGAAAGTCTGTGAGACTCCTATCTTCAAATAACCACCAAAAAAAACTGCAAGTGGAACTCTGGCTTAAGTGATAGAGCACTGGCCCTGAGGACAAAAACTCAAGGACAGCATCCAGGTTCTGAGTTCAGGACCATCACACAGGCACACACAATGTCTTCAGTTTCCAGTGGTAAAATAAAGTTCATTGACTCACCAAAGATAAAGTAACTTTAAGGATGGTCAGAAAACTCAGTATCTAGGTAAAGACCAGGCACATGACATACAAAAAAGTAACCTAAGCAAAAAGAACTGACTTTCCAAATATCCCTAGGACCTGCAAGACTAGGGATGAGAGACAGGACATCATAGGACAGAAAGTCTTTAAGATCCTTTTGTGGATATGAACAAGCTACCTGATTAGTATTTACAAAGTAGAAGGTACTAGGTACCAGACCTGGAGTCTGGGGAAAAAAGACTAGCACGGCTCTGAGCTCTCATTCTATCACTTATTGTTCATGTAACCTAGAGCCAGTAACCTAGGAATGAATATATCTAAGAAATTTCAAATAACAGGTTGTATATTTAGGTCTGTTTTAAATCACTACTCCTTGTGGTAAACCATGCATGTAATCCCAGCAATCAGAGACAGAGGCAGAAAAATTCAAAGTTCAAGGTCAGCCTGGGCTACATAGTGAGATTCGTCTCACAATAAAAACAACAAAACAAAATCATCTTTCCATTATGGAACAAAATGTTTCTTCCTGTACATAATCAGAAAACGGAGCAAAATGATTTATACATAGCACCCAAGTAAAAAGCATTTCCCTTCATTATAAAGAAGAACCTTGAAGTAAAGCAATGAATGTTGTAATATCAAAACAGGAAAAAAGAACTATTCCCAAATCTGGGTGCCGGTGGCTCACACCTGTAATCCTAGCTACTCAAGAGGCTAAGATCTGAGGATCGAGGTTCAAAGCCAGCCCTGGCAGGAAAGTCCGTGAGATTCTTATCTCCAATAAACCACTAGAAAACCAGAAGTGGCACTGTGGCTCAAGCTTGAAGAGCTCAGGGACACCGCCCAAGCTCAGAGTTCAAGCCCCACGACCGACAAAAAAAAAAAAAAGAACTATTCCCTGACCTTCCCATTAATATCTGATTTCCAGATACAAAGACTGACTAAATAGAGTTGTTTCCTCATCCCTAACATCTCCAGGGACATATCTTTTTTTCCTCCTCAAATTCAGCAAAATGTACCCCAATAATAAACACTACATAATCACTGGCTATCCCCAATGATGATGCCAGCCCTTGCCTGATCGGGCTTCTGCCACACTTTGTCCATTATTTCTGACATAAAGTGTTTTTCCAAATGGACATGTTTAACACATAGTTTCCCATAATAGGTATTATAATCAAGCTTCTATCTTCTTTGTGTAGATTAAAATTAGCAAGATTTTACTATTAACAAATGCTGCTTTCAGGAAAACACAGAGTGCTAAGATATTGTTACCTGTATCTTCTACATAATTTCTCAGGAATGTTTTAAAGGGATGGGTGGCTATTAGACGTACAATGATGCCCTGGTGATTATAAGGACAAATGGGTGTGTACATCTAGGTCAACTGTGATTTGCATGCAGTGTCATAGCCTAATTTGATGTTAACAGGCTTGTACAAATCTATTCTCTAAAGAATTACATTGTAAATGCCTCCAGGGAAGGAACTATTTCTTATTCACCCTCAATAGATTGTAGGACTGATTTGGGATGAGGCTAGGAGGACAGGGTGCAGCAAATAATATTGCCAAAATTCTAATGCACTAAGTAATCAGTTATTAAAGATCATGTTCTTTTATAAATACATACAAGTAGTTAAAGATTTTGAAAAAAAAAAAAAGGATGTGTGTGTGTTGCAAAAAAGCTGGGAAATTAAAGACCATAGTTCATAATAGGACATAAGGTCTTTAAAAATCCCATTGTAGGTATACATAAGATACCAGGTTAGACGCTACAAAGTGGGAGAAAAAGAACTGTTTGAATGCTTGGAATCTGGAAAGAAAACAAGTGTGGGTCATGTGACTCTAAGCTTGCTTCCCCCACTTACTGCCCAAGTCACCTTGGGTGAATTGTTTACATTTATTTCTCAAACCTCAGTTTCATTTCTGTAAAATGAAGATAATCATACATACCTATTTTAAAAAGAAGACTGGATGAGATGGTTCCTATAAATTTTGGAGCAGTACACATGCCATCTCTAATGTGAGCTATTATTATTATTATTATCATTTTCATTTCAGAGCCATTTCCCTAAGGACCACAAGAAAGAAGGAAAGAAAGAGAAAGTAAGAAAGAAAGAAAGAAAGAAAGAAAGAGGAAGGAAGGAAGAAAGAAAAGAAGGAAGGAAGGAAGGAAAGAGAAAGGAGGAAGGGAGGGAGGACTGATGGATGGGAGGGAGGGAGGAAGGGGCAAAGGAAGGAAGGACCAATGAATCTCAGCTCCTGAAGCTCTTTGCAGCTGAGTGGTAAAGCATGGTGCTCTAGGAGGCTTCTTTACACCAGGCAGGCAGAGCCCTTCCTCTCCTTCATCTGTTCTGCTCCCTGAAACAAGGACATAGCAGCTGGAGCTCCAGCAGCCACACTGACATGAAAATGACATTTTGGGCAACAAGATGGAAGAAGCCAGGAGCTCTTGCAGCTTAATGAACCACCTAATACATCCTAGACTGCCTGCTTCTGAACTACTTCATGTAAGTAAATGGAATAGTCCACCTCAGACAATATAGACAAATCAAATCCTAACAGGTGGCACTGAAGGTTCTATACTGCAGAGAAAACAGTCTTTAAGATTCAAGTCAGGAACCACAACTGTACCTACCATCATTTCTACTTATTACATTCTTCCTGTGCCTCTTACACCTCCTGTGGTACTCTTGGTTTTAGAAAAGCACTTAAACAGCCATTCACAGTGCTTCTTTGCCTCCCCACTATTTCAACACTGAAAAGGCTGCTCTAGACCCAAGTCGGCACACGTGATGCCCTGTGTGAGGCTCACCATGAATATGGTCCAGGCTTAGCTGTGGGTGGGGAATAGGTGTGATTTGTATCCCATGAGGGGTTCAGTTTCAGAGACCACTGGAATGTGTGTATTGTTTACACATTCTTTTGAAGTCCCAAGTATTTGGGAGGAAGGTCTCCATTAAGACCTCCATCAGTCCCACAGGGCCAGAGCACTAACAAAACTGCACAGAGGACCAATTTGCCGGC